CAGCTCAGGAAGTCTGCTTGCCGGTTCTTCTCCCCCGAAATGTGTTCGGCCCTGAGAGAGGACAGGTTGGACTCTGCCCAGGAACCCAGTAACTGGGCCTTGGACATGAGGGACTTGGACCGGGTACCCCCTTGCCAGTTCACGTGGGCCTTTGCCGCCACGTTGTCCGTAAGGACTAATATGTGCCATCTCGCAACCTGGTTGTGGAAGTGGCAGAGAGCCAGGTGGATGGCTCTGAGTTCCAACCAGTTGATGCTGTGTCTCAAATCTGCACGAGACCAACAGCCCTGTGCAAATTGAGACCGGAGGTGAGCTCCCCAACTGAACAGACTGACGTCCGTCATAATTGTAAGACAGTCAGGCTCCCTGAACAGTGACCCCCTAGCTACCGCTGACGAGAACCACCAACGAAGGGAACTCAGGTTTTGGACAGGAAGCCTTACCTGTTGGTTGGATGAGCTGACGCCCAACCTCTGGAAGGGGAGTAGGAACCATTGAAGGCTTCGTAGATGGAGCCTGGCCCAGGGGACTATGGCTATGCAAGAGACCATTTTCCCCAGGAGCTGGGAAAGTAGGGCCAGTGAGACAGTGCAGTCTGTACACTCGGCCAGTCAGGTCTCTGATGATGTCTAGATGCTCCTGTGAGAGATAGACCATGCAATCTACTGTGTCTATGATGGCTTCCAGGTGTTAGGATTCGGGTCGAGGGAACCGTCTGGCTCTTTTGGAAGTTCACCGAGAACCCGTGCTGTTGGAGGACCTGGATCATTAAGTTCAGGTCCAACTGAGCCGTCCAGAGGGAGGACGATTGAATAAGGATGTCGTCCAGGTAGCACTGAACACGTACCGGTACCTTCCGTAAGTGTGCGGCCAGCACAGCCAGGATCTTGGTGAACACCCTGGGAGCAGATGAAAGACCGAACAGGAGGGCCCTGTACTGGAAGTGATGGCCCATGTAGCAGAACCTGAGGAACCGCCGGTGTTTGGGAAGGATGGGGATGTGGAGATACGCTTCCGTGAGGTCTATAGACTTCAGGAAGTCTCCTTTTTCTGACGCTTCCTAAGATGGACTGGAGCGTTTGCATTTTGAATCTTTTGTATGCAATGTGGTAATTCAGATACTTGAGGTCTAGAATTGCCCTCCATCCCCCTGAGGCTTTGGGGACCACGAAGAGGATGGAATAGAATCCCCTTCCCTTCTAATCCGGCGGCAATGGTTCTATGGCCTGTATGTCCAGAAGATGACAAATGGCCTCTTGCAGAAGACTCCATTTGATTGAGTCCCGAGAAAGGGGACAGGAGATGAAATGGCCCGGAGGGCTGGAGACAAATTCGAGGGACAGGCTGAATTGAAATGGTTTGTAAGACCCAGGTGTCTGTGGTGGTGAGTTTCCACTGGTGGAAGAAAAGGGATAGTCTGCTGTCTATGGGAGGGATGGTCCGAGAGTCACTTGGACCTTCTGAAGGGGCGACCTCCCCCTTGAAATGGCCGTTTGCTCTGATTTTATTTTTTGGGCATAAAGCCTGGTCGTATGGACAGTCTTGTTTGGGTGTGAAGGGGTGGGAGGGTTGGGCAGCTCTCGAGCCCAATGCTGGCCGAAAGGACTGCCTACGGCCATAAGGAATGGAGCGTCTATCAGATCTTTTGTTGAGATGGGCCATGACCTTCCGCTTGTCCTTATTCTCCACTAAATACGGATTCAGGGCCTCCCCAAATAGATGGCCTCCTTGGTTGGGAGCCGTTGCTAGACACCATTTGGACTTGGCATTGGCCTGCCATTGCTTGAGCCATAGCATCCGTCTTGCTGTGACACTGGCGGCTAAGGACCTGGAAGCAAAGTTGGCCAACTGCAGGGTTGCATCCGACACATATTCTGTTGCTGCAACCAGTTTGGTTAAACCTTGATGGGTCCGTACGTCTTCTGGAGGGAGCCTAGCCTGAAGCTGATGAAGCCATAGGAGGGAGATCCTGACAAAAAAGGAAGCGCACGTGGCCGTTTTAATCACCCACATGGCCACCTGATGAGTTTTGCGGAAGGTCAAGTCCCATTTCCTATCATCTGACTTAAGTGCCTCGGCCATGTCCCCAGAGACTGCGGACGAGGACACAAGAGGAGTCCAGGCTTCGTCCACCTTTGGTACTTCAAGAGTATCAGAAAGATCTGGTGAAGTACTAAACAGTTTTTTTATCTGTTCCTCCCATGGAGGGACCGGTGAAGCCCATTGTTTCTGAACACCGTTCAGGAAAATTGAAGGGCAAGGGATATGGTGTGGGGCCACCAGTCTCGAAGAACACCGGGTTCGGGTTCGAATTGGATGGAGTTTGTGGCTGAGGGAACTGATGGGACCCTATATTTGCCATGGTGGTGGCCTTGCATAGCAAAGGAAGAAAAAGGGCTGGATTGAAGAGGCCTCCAGGTGGAGAAGGGTCCGGGGGGGGGGGGGAGATCCTCCTCCTCCGACCAAGGAAAGTCCGGTGGTCATAATCAGTAGGAGAAGAGACGCCACTATGTGAGGAATTGGTGGGAGACGGGGGGGGGGTCATGATATGCTGTTGGAGGAACATAGGACAGAAGTACAGGTGGAAGAGCTTCCTGTCCAGATAAGTGGTATGACCGTGCCGCGAGTGCTCGATCTACAACCCTTGAGATCAGGGCTTCGAGGCGACCCTCTGAAAGAATATCTTCGGGTTCAGCCCCCCTGAGCCAGGCGGCTGTTAGGGTAAAGGTGGCCTCTGGGCCCGAATGTGACGCCTGCAAGGAAAATATTGATGGTTGGACAGCTGTGTCGTGAGTTGTGATGGAAGGGCAACCATGTGTGGTTGGGGCCTCCGCCATGGACCACACACCCTGAGCAGAAGTCGACGGCCCTAAAGGTAGGTCGAAGTCTGGGGCCACTGACTGATCCACCTCTACTCTGGCCTGTCTCTGCGCTCTGGAGAACTCCCTCTCCAGAGCCTGGTGCCTACGGCTGGCTTGTTTCTCTGCCAATTTGGAAGGCTTTTTGAGGATTTTATTAATTTATTTATTTATTAATAAAATTTATATGGCCTTCGCCTTGTCCTTGAGGATGGCCTTCGCCTTGTCCTTGAGCTTGCCTGCTGCCTCCTGTTTGGAGGTTTTGTGCCGTTCGTGGCTTGAGGATGAGGAGACGGTGCCGGTAGGCTGGGAAACTGTGGGATTCTCCATCCTGGGATGAGCTATCTCAGGGAAACTGAGGGGGAGCTCTGGCAGGCAAGCAATTGGCGGGAACAATGGTTAGAGTAGGGAATATGGGCTGCTTCCCTGACCACCTGACCGGGGAATCAGTTCTCTCTGAGATTCCAGTCAAGGCTTTGTTGTGGTTGTAGCCGAAGGCACGGTTGGGGCCTGCTATGAGACGCCACGCGGTGGTCTTAGGTGGCCAGGCCAAACTGCACCAGAATGCCCAAGGCTGGGCGCAGAGGGTCTAGAAAGAGAGCCTGGTAGTTGAGAAGATGGCCTTGGGAGACCTCACGTGTTCAAAATGGCAGCCTGGGTGAGCTACAGGCCGGGCCTGGTATCAGGCAGCTAATCTGCGGTTAGTGAGGCCTAAGCAGCACCCGCCCCGACGCAGGACAGAAGAAACCCCCTGATTGAGGCTGGTAGCCCTGAAAAGGTAGTCGTGCTGTAAAAGGACGATGTGGGGAAGCCTGAAGGCCTAATGATCCCCTCAGGCAGGCTGGCAGTGAGAGAAGGCCAAAGCCTAACGATCCTGTCAGAAAGGCCTGCGCGGCGCGGCCAAAATGGCGGCTGCTCCAAACGCTGCAAGGGAGAAGGAATTCGATCCCTGGAAGGAGTCCAAAGGCTTCGCGATGGGCGCGGGAGCTCTTCCCCCATGCTCAAATGAGCTAAGGCAGTGATTGGGACAGCAGGCTTGGGAAGGTTCCCCTTTCCTCTAAATGCTTCTGTTGGGACCGCGGTGTTTTCGGCGGCAGCCAAAATGGCGGCTGCGACTTTCTGGCAGTTAGAAATGCTGCCTGAGGCCTCATGGAGCTGTTCTGAGCAGCTTAGTGAGATCTGAACTGTAGCGCTGAGCGCTGCGCTGAGAAGGCTAATGAGGGGTGAGAGAAGATCAAAGGAAAAGTTCCCCAGAGCCCTGTGAAAGGAGAATGGGGGAATTTACACCCCCTCAGCCTCAAATCAGCCGATCTGAGGCAGCGCTGATCCCAGCGCTGCTGAGAGGCTGTGTAGGTGAGAGGAAAAAATCCACTATTATGAATGAGAAGGTGGATGAGGAAAGGAAAATTCACCAATGGAATAATCTAAACCTGTGAAACTAGAGAGTCAAACCTGACACGTCTTCTACAGCTGGAGACCAAGTCAAGACTGGGATCTCCTAGCAACAGGGGGTGTGTCAAATTTGGCTAACTTGGTCTCAAGAGCAGGCAGACAGAGAAAACCCATTGGTGGATTCTCCATCTCCTGTGCTGGAGAATCTCTACGTAGCCACACGCCCCCCTTGAATTCTGTGGACTCTTATCTGACTCCAAGTATGCAGTAACCATTAGCTGAGAAGATTCTTTTTAGCAAAAAATCAGTTTAATTGGACCTTCACATACGATCCTGGTCTTTTGCACTTGATAAGCTGGTTACCTCTTTCCCTGAGAATCTTGTTCATTCTGGTTCCTTCGCTAGCAGGAAGGAGGACAATTAAAAAGAGGAAGAGAGAGGACAGCAGACTACTAGGACCTCCAAGGGCTCTGCTTCCACTAAGGCTGCTGCTAAAGCAGTGGTTGACTCAGAAGCAGGAGGTATCGTGATGAGATCATGGTGGTTCTGCTCCTTTGCTAGGCTCCTATGGAGGCTTGATGTGATCACAGTTTTGTTGAAAGAAAAAGTCTGAAGGCTAAAGCATAGGGAAGGGGGTGTTATGGGCCCTAAGACAGCTGCCTCTCCCAGCAATATTATGTGTGTGCCACAAGACAGAAACACAGTATCCTGGTTTCTTACAAATTTAGACTTTATACTGTGCTAACTTACCTGTGACAGCATCATAGAATTCCTCTTCACTATTCATTCTTTTAGTTGGTTTTTCTCTCCCTTCAGTGTCTCATTAATGCATAGTTGTTACTGATGTGATCACGTTTTTTATAAAAGCAAAATAGTTCCAAGTGTCCTGTATAGAGAGGAGGAGAAATAAGAACAAATGATGTTCTTTATTTATGTGGGTTATCTCAAAGACCCGGCCCTAATTTGTATTATGCAGTTACCCAATGTAATTAGTATATATTAAATTTCTAAATTACATTGGGCAACTTCATAAAATAAATTGAGTAATTACAGTGCACAGACTACTTTAATTTGCAATATCTCTTGTCAGGTTTTGTTTAAACCAGCCTTCTCAAACCAAGGAATCTACCAAGAAACAATGAGCACAAAATTGAGAAATTAAAACTTAGCAAATTCTGTTCTACCGCCTGAGTCATGAAGGGAGATATGGGTTTTTAGATGACTGTTCTGAGAATTTAATAAAGTTAAAACATAAGGAAGTGATGTATTGAAAGATAAAATACAGCTAGGGTATTTTTAAAATCAACCTTGAGCAGAATCAGGTTGTAAACAAAATGGAACTTGTGATCATAATGTTATTTTAGCTGTCAAATCTTACTTTTTCTTATATCGGGAAAAAAGTGAGATTTCTAATGATTCTATTTACAGAATAATAGAATAAATCAACCACATGCAGTAAAACCCTAGTAAAACCACACCTGGAACACTGCAGCCAATTTTGGTCACCATATCACAAAAAAGATATTGAGAGTTTGAAAAAAAACTCAGAGAAGAACAACTCAGATGACCAAAGGCCTGGAGACTAAAACATACGAAGAACGGCTGCAGGACTTGGGTTTAGCTAGTCTAAAGAAAAGAAGAAATAGGGGAGACACGATAGCAATATTCCAGTATTTGAAGGGCTGCCACAAGGCCGAGGGGGTCAGGTTGTTCACCAGAGCACCAGAGGGAAGGACAAGAAACAATGGTTGGAAACTGATCAAAGAGAGAAGCAACCTGGAATTAAGGAGAAACTTCCTGACAGTGAGGACAATCAACCAGTGCAACAGCTTGCCTCCAGAAAACATGGGCGCTCCATTACTGGAGATTTTTAAGAAGAGGCTAGACAGTCACCTGTCTGAAAGGGTATAGGTCAGTGATGGCGAACCTTTTAGAGACCAAAAACTGGCCCTGCCCCCGCTCCAACCCCCTGCCCCGCCCTGCCTGCCCACAGGACCACTCATCGCCTCCACAGCCCACCGATCGCCCAGGCAGCCCATGGTGGCCACACCCTCTGCCCATGCCCTGCAAAATCAACTGGCAGAGTCTTGTCTATGCTGCCTGGTTGCCATGTCCTTGGCTGCGCTGCTCCGTGTGGGCCACGCTCGAGAGCGACTCTCCTTCAGGGGGGCTGCTGGAGAGGAGGGGGTCATAGGCAGAGGCAAAGCTGGGGCAATGGCATGTGTACCCACAGAGAGGGCTCCGAGTGCCGCCTCTGGCACCCGTGCCATAGGTTCTCCTGCTTGAGCAGGGGGCTGGACTAGAAGACCACCAAGGTCCCTTCCAGATTCTATTCTATTCTATTCTATTCTATTCTATTCTATTCTATTCTATTCTATAATCTGTTTATTCTATTCTATTCTATTCTATTCTATTCTATTCTATTCTATTCTATTCTATTCTATTCTATTCTATTCGGAATGCTTCAATACATCCATGTGACCCCAGTGTTGTGCAAACTCCAATGCTTGCACTTCATCCCTTATAATGGATGGAATAGGCTGGCTATTTGAGGGACCACCAGTCTCCAATTGTTTCTGCCCATATGGTAAGTTTGAGCAGCGGGTATGCGTTTCAGGTCCTCTCAATTAAACGATGCTATCTGTTGGGACTTAAGAAATATAGGTTGCCCTTGACTTACAACTTAAGTCTGCTCCGTAACTGATCGCAATTTACAACCTTTTCTTGTGACATTGATGCCAATAATCAAATCACCCTGATAGTTAAGCAAATAAAGTGGCTGACAAGCAAAGTCGCTCTTCGCTATGAGGCACTTTTGCTGAAAAACAGACTCAGATCTAGGAAAAGCTTTATGGCAAGAACAAACATTCTTGAGGGTACGCAAGAACAAAATTGAATTAAAAGATGGAGGAAGGAGACCATTGAGTAAAGAATAACATTAAAGGAGGCTATGGCTGAAGGATCTGACTTCCCTTGTACTATTTGGAGGGCCGTGAATAGGTTAAGGGTTGGAGAACCAATATGGTCAAGTGGAGACTCTTAGCGGAAAACCATTTTTTTTTCTTTTAATGACCCTGTAATCTCTTGCATTGGGATGGAGTTGGGGTGACTGAACGGAGCTCAAGCATTTACTGGCCGATGCCCTTCCTGATACCTACGCAGAGTTCGCAGCAGACATTGCGCCCAGAGAGAGAAATATCTGCTACTACCTAGGATCGAACTGACAGCCTCCTGATTGTGAGGTGAGACTCCACCTCTAGGCCACGTGTCGCTCTCTTAGCGGATAATGATACGCTATGTGAATGTGGAGAGACACAGAGCCTGGCCCATCTGCTGGTATGTCAGCTACTATCAGAAACATGTACCAAAAATAACTTATTTTTAGCGAATGATAAGGCCAAGAAGGTGGCTTTATTATGGCTATCTAAAGTTTGATCTAAACACAGAAGAAGAAGAAGTCGAAAAGTGGAAGTAAATGCTGGCTTTCTGCAAAAATGTCACAAATCAGTCACATAACCACAGGTTGTTGCAAACGGCCATAAATGCAGGTCACGTTGCCATAAGGGGCCATCACAATTTCAGAATTGGATCTTAAGTACCTTTGGGGGGGGTTCATGTGCTGCCCCACTCACACACACACACACACACCTCAGTCTTTATTAAGGCTTCTAAGATTGTAGTGATATTCCCTAGCACAGTGATGATGAACCTTTTAGAGACCGAGTGCCCAAAAACTGGCCCCGCCCCTGCTCCACCCCCCTGCCCCGCCCCGACTCTGCCCTCATCCCCCGCCTGCCCACAGGACCACTCACCGCCTCCAGGGCCAGCCACAGAACACCGAGGCAGCCCACCAGCGCTATGGCGGCCACACCCTTTGCCCGCGCCCTGCAGCATCAACTGCATGATGGGGTGTGAGGGCAGAGTCTTGTCTACACTGCCTGGCTGCCATGTCCTTGGCTGCGCTGCTCTGTGTGGGCCACGCTTGAGGGCGACTCTCCTTCAGAGGGGCTGCTGGAGAGGAGAGGGTCACAGGGGGAGGCAAGGCTGGGGCAATAGCACGTGTGCCCACAGAGAGGGCTCCGAGTGCCGCCTCTGGCACCTGTGCCATAGGTTCGCCACCACTGCCCTAGCAATTCCCTGTGCCGGCACCAGCTCAATCCCAATGACTTCCACAGGCTATTCAAATGAAGCCAACCCTAGTCCTCAAGGCAAAGGCAAGTCCAGTCCACTAGGCAAAAGCAACTTCCCAAGGCAAAGGCAAGTTCCAAGACAAGGGCAAATCCATAGGCAAAGGCAAGCAAAGGCAACAGCTGAAGAGATACGATCAAGGCGAGAACACACAGCAAGAAAACAAACACACTGTTCCCAACATAATCTCCATCTGTCTACTGTGCTAAATAGCCAACTTCTGGTGCAGCCCATCAAGAAAGGCGAGGCTGTCTCCTCATGAGTAATCTGGCTGACCTTCTCTGCTCCTGCTTTTTCTCTGCCCTGCATGTTCTTGGATCAGGTGCAGAAGGCAGTTCCTTTTCCTCATCGCTGACCGGCTGCAGCTGCGTGCTTTCCCCACCTGAAGCCTCAGGGCTGTCCTGCTGTAGCTGTGTTCTGGCCAAATCACTCAGCCGGTTGCACGGAGCCATTGACCAACTCCCCTTCTGTTGTGCCCAGTACTGGTTCATCTTTCTCTGAGCTGACATCTGGAGAAGTATCTGGGGAAGCAGCAGTCCATTGTAGCTTTGAATGGTCACTAAGGGATTAGGTCAGGGGAAGGCAACCATGGCTCTTTTATAACTCGTGGACTTCAACTCCCAGAATTCCTGAGCCAGCATAGCTGGCTCAGGAATTCTGGGAGTTGAAGTCCACAAGTCATAAAAGAGCCAAGGTTGCCTACCCCTGGACTAGGTGTAACTTGAGGATTGCCTGTATGCCTTTTCTGGATTTGCTCACAGATATAACATCTCCCCAGTGATCTATATGGCTCCCACCTTGATTTTCAGAAAAACTTTGAAAGGCACAAGACTAGAAAGCAAAAGACCATGAGTTCAACTCCCTCTTGATTCGTGAAATAAAGTGACTTTGGGCAAATTACTTTCTCTCAGCCCAACCCACGGTTGTGGGAAAATGAGGAGGCAAGTGAGTTGTTTGTAAAAATAAATAAATAAATATGGGATACAAAGAAATAAATATATAAATAAATAAATTTCTCCCAGACCCCGGTATAGGATGGGTTGTCAAGCTTCTGTCAGTTTTTTTTTGCTTTCTTTATGGTTCTTCTCCCCAGTGATGATCTGTTCCTTTATGTTTCTTGCTTTTAAAAAGTCTAAGTGGCCCAGAGTCTTTGGAAATGGGTGGCTTCTAAATTGTAGGAAACAACCCATAAAAACCTCTATAATGGGCTTTCTGCATTCTCATACGTGCAAGCTGTTAATAACAATCCAAAATACTAATTGCACAAATTGGTTTACTAGTAGGAATGTTTCTACTAGTAACTTAAAGCATTTATATAGCTGACGTCTTATAACAAACTCTCGGAGGCTCCTAATCAAAAATTAAAACAACATAAAAGCCCTATTAAAACTAAACTCATAAAAACAAAACCCTGGCACCAAGTCAAGCTTCTGATGTACAGTCATCGATCTTATCCTACCTAGGCACTTGGGAGAAAAGCCGGGTCCTCATGGCTTTATGGAAGACTAGGAAGGTAGAGGCCAGCCAAACTTTAGGGGACAGAGTGTTCCACAGGGCAGGGGCTGCCACAGAAAAGGCACTGCTTCCTAGTTCCCATCAGATGGCAATATTTAGGGGAAGGGACTCAGAGCATGCCCACCCCCATCTGACCTGGTAGGAGGGGAAGATGTCCTTAACGAAAAGTGGTCTGCAGATAAA